ATTCAGTTTCCTTCCCAGCACATTCAGACATATCCCAGATCCTTCTTCAATCAACCTCAGATAGTTAAGCTCAAGTCCTCTTCATTCTTGGGACAGCAACAAGCCAAGTTTTAAGTTCCCTCTTCCCTTCCCCCTTCCCATTGGCCCTGTTCCCAGCACTCATCCCTCCCATGCCCTTCCAATAGCCATGAGGCCACCCAACTTACTTTTACCAGTTAACCATGTTTATAGCCCCTCTCTCTTTCCATTAGGTATGTTTCCAGCCCATCCCCTCTCTTCCTTTACAGACCCTATTTCCCCTCTCTCTTTCTATTAGCTATTTGTCCAACTTCTTCCCTTTTAACCACTTTTGTAGTCCCCAATGCTCCTCTACTTTTCAATCACTCTTGTTAGCAGCCCCCATCCACCTCTCCATTTCCATTAGTATGTGTCCAGCACCATTCCGTTAGCCATCTTTGTAGCCCCCATGCCCCTTACCCTTTACATTAGCCATGTTTACAGCCTCTTCCATTCCCAGTCTATTGTATGTCTTTCCTATTTTATCTTTCCCCCATTTACCTTATCTCCTGTGCCTTTCTCTCCTCGCTCTTTATTCTGTCTTCTCCCTAGGTCCCCTGTCATGCAGTCCAGCTAGAGTTAGTTTTGCTTTTAGTTCAGCGACTTTGGCATAAAATGTTACATTCTCTTTGAATTCACACTTTAGTGACTAACCCTGTCATGGTGGTGGTGCAGGCAGCAGTGGTGGAGGTGTGAGCAGTCCCCATGGAAGAGTTGTTCCACCTCTCAGAAGCCATGGCACAACTTCCCTCAACTTTGGCTTTGAAGTTGTACATGACATTTGTGACGGACCCGCTGGCACTCCGACCGAGTACCTCCGCCAATCGATGCTCCTAGTGGTTGCCGAGGACTCCAAGCACTCCAACCGACACCATCAGCACTGCAGACTTATCCCATTCCCCAAGCATGAGCCAAGGCTTCAAGAAAGGGTCAAGCAGGTCTGTTTTAATGAACTCACAAAGCAACAGCACTCAGCAAAACAACTCCTCCTCAGAGAAAAACAAAATGACAGTTAAGTTCAGTCAGTGTTTCAATATATGACAGTTAAAAGGTCAGACAGAGTTTGAATGTAACAAGGTATTAAGGGTTTATCTGGTGTTCTAGGAGGGGGGAATAAAACAGGGGTTTTCTTCACAATTTAAAGCTGCAGGCTGCTCCAATATAATTTAACCCCTTAAGGACCAAACTTCTGGAATAAAAGGGAATCATGACATGTCACACATGTCATGTGTCCTTAAGAGGTTAAAGGGGCAGACAGAGTACAATAAAATCCGATATGCCCAAAATCTTCCAGGGGCCATGGTCACAGGGCAGGAGGCTGGCAATTAGTCCTCTCCAGGCACAAGTGGCGAAGAGCACTTTGTCACACATCTTCCCTCGGGGGGGAGACTATCAAGGTACCTGACTGTAACGGATCACCTGGCACCCCGACTGGGTACCTCCGTTGAAGGATGCTCCTAGCGCTTCCTGAGGGCTCCAAGCACTCCAGCTGACACCATAACCACCGTAGACTCCTTCAGAGAGCAAGACAGGAACAAGCTCTTACAAGAGCTTAGTAGTGATATAGCAAGAGAATAGGGGCCAGGGGTAGGGGCCAGGGGGGAGGACATTAGGTGCCCCCCCTTATTCCAATTTAGGGCCCCCACCCGCCGCTCAGGGGTGGGGGCCAGGGGAGAGGACATTAGGTCCCCCCCTTATTAGTATTTAGGGCCCCCACCCACCGCTCAGGGGTGGGGGCCGGGGGGAGGACATTAAGTCACCCCCTTATTAGTATTTAGGGCCCCCACCCACCACTCAGGGGTGGGGGCCAGGAGGGAAGATATTAGGTCCCCCCCTTATTCCAATTTAGGGCCCTCACCCACCGCTCAGGGGTGGGGGCCAGGGGGAGGACCTTAAGTCCCCCTCTTATTAGTATTTAGGGCCCCCACACACCGCTCAGGGGTGGGGGCCAGGAGGGAAGATATTAGGTCCCCCCCTTATTCCAATTTAGGGCCCTCACCCACCGCTCAGGGGTGGGGGCTAGGGGGGAGGACATTAGGTCCCCCCTTATTCCAATTTAGGGCTCCCACCTGCCGCTCAGGGGTGGGGGCCAGGGGGAGGACATTTGGTCCCCCCTTATTCCAATTTAGGGCCTCCACCCGCCGCTCAGGGGTGGAGGCCAGGGGGGAGGACATTAGGTCCCCCCCTTATTATAATTTAGGGCCCCCACCCACCGCTCAGGGCTGGGGGCTAGGGGGGAGGACATTAGGTCCCCCCCTTATTCTGATTTAGGTCCCCCACCCGCCGCTCAGGGGTAACGTTTTTAAGGGCAAAATCTTCCAGGGGCCATAGTTGCAGGGCAGTAGGCTGTCAATTAGTCCTCTACAGGCACAAGTGGCGAAGGGCACTTCGTCACAACATTGATGATGGTGTTTTTTTTTTTTTTTATTAAGATAACTTAGTGATATGGAATATGTATTGTGTAAAGTAACACAACCTTATTCAGCAACAATTGGTTGTGTTAGTGATCGGTGGATTTATTGCTATAATGTTATAGTATTTGATGTTAAGAAACAACACAGTGCTCACATACTTGCCCAGTGTACACTTGACTGAACATACTCAGAAAAAAAAATAAGATATTATTTTTCCAAACAGTTAAATGGACACCCCAGACCTACTGAAGTGCTTTATATGTAAAAAGGGAGCCCTCTCTTCTAATTTGCCAAAAATGGCAGTTTTCAATAAAAATTGGTACTTTTATAAATAAACCTTGTTACACAACCATGGCTTTCAAACAGATGACCTGCCCTGTTATTTCCTGGTAGTTTAGGTCTCTGGAGCTATATTGAAGAGACAGGTAATGGCCCAGAGCAAAAGCCTTGCAAAGACTTCTCACTGAGCTGAATTGGGAAGTGTGTGATTGAACAGCCACAGAAAGTCTGGGCTGGATAAGAAGGGAAGGGCTTGCAAGGATTTTCAACAAATATGCAGCTTTTGCAAGATCTTTTTTTATGGAGTGTGGACTATATATTGGAAAGCTAGTTTTGCATTAGGAGTAATGACAAAATGCCTGCCTAGTGCCAATGTCATATTTCCACTAAATGTTGTTTCAAGTGCCTCTGTCAGTTGCTGCTAGCTAGATCCAACACAACCTACTAAATTTAGTCTCAAACTAAAATCTATGACTCAAGTGAGACAAAAAGATTTTTTTTCTGACTAAACAGTCCCCAACAGAAAGATTTTCTTTCCTCCAAACAGTCAACAAAAAAACAACCTTTAACAAATCTAATTGGTAACCTAACTAGACCTGGATTTGCAATAAAGCTACAGGATAGGCAAGAAGGATAGGGGCAGCACTTGTCTATATAAGCTGTCATTTCATTATGCATCTGTTTTTTTCTCTTGTATCAGTCTGGTCACTATAGATTTAACCAAGTCCCTCATGGCACATGCCCTAAGTGCATGGGCCACCCGATAAACATGTGCCATGAGGGGCCCGATGATGTGCTGCGATACATTACCAGCACAGTGTGTCGCTTCTAATCTAAAGGTACAGCTGGAAGTAAGTGAGACCGGGTCCCTTCCTCACAGCTGACATAGACCCAGCCATGCAGGAGTGGGGGTGGACCGAGTAAGGAGCATGCCTCTAACTCCAAACAGTCCCAGCCAGAAGAAACCACCATCCTGCACCCAAAAGTGTGTCAGTGTGTGCATCTGTGTATCTGCATGTGTGCCAGTGTTTGTATCTGTATGTGTGTCAGTTTGTGTATCTGTCTGACTGTATCTGTATGTATGTCAGTGTGTTTATCTGTATGTCTATATATCTATGTGTGTGTCATTGTTTGTATTTGTATGTCTGTGCCATTGTTTGTAACTGTTTGTGTTAGTATGTGTATCTGTATGTAAAAACAAAAGGGAATTGGGGTCACTCTTGGAACTTGCAGGAATGGTGCTGCCGTAGTGACCAATAATTATACATATACAGATTAAGGAAGAGCACACTTATAAAAATGAATTTCTAAATTCTATAAAGCTACTTAAAATCGACTATCTCTGCAAACAAATATGGGGATGCAAAAAAAAATGGTTCCTGCCATGTGACATCCAGTAAATATTTGATAGTATTTGTTGAGTCCTTCAAGTAGGATCTTACCTTTGTAACATAAGTGTGGAGAAAAAAGTTGATGTATTTTGATAGATTTGCAGTTAACGAGTTGATACCAGAACTAGTTGGTCTTCCAGTAGGATTTTCCAGGGTTTTGAGCATCTTGGGTAAAAAATAAAAAATGTAAGTTTTGGGATATGTGTGACAGGATTACAATTGATCCAACACGCAGTATTAGTATCACACCTAGGAATAATGATAACGTCTAACCGGACTTAACGTATAAGAGAATAGTCGAAATACGAGACGGGGTCAGGAACACAGAACGAAACACCATTTCAAGGAATAGCCAATAGTCAGGGAAACCAGAAATCAGGGAAGTCAGAACGAAAAGCCAAAGTCAAGTACTAAAGAAACACAATCAGGAACACACTCTGGGAATAACCAGCAAAGGGAAACCACGACAGGGCAATGAGCAGAAGAAATTAGTGAGTTTAAGTATCCCTCTTGTGAATCCGATTGCTTGTATACGTCCTATGACCCCAAAACGTGCATGCACATCCTCTGCATGACGTCACCCACACGTCGACGTCACCACCATCGTGAACAGACATGGGGCTACATAACAGTGTGGATCCGCAGCGGCCGGCATCCACGGGTATGTTGCAAAAGCCCGATCTTATGGCATAGGACTGCCAAGCAGCTCTTCTCTTATTCCTGGAAAGTTGATTATTGTTGTGCATTGCATATGGAGAGGATGAAAATGTGACATTACTCCCCACCTGAAGACCGACCATCGGGCGGGCTGGTCCAGGTTTGAGAGAAAATTTGGCGTGAAAAGCACGCATTTTGCGGCCAGCATGCAAATCAGAGGCAGAAACCCAGGAACAATCAGCAGGCCCATAACCCTTCCAATCAACCAGGTATTGCAGGGAGCCCCGAAAAAAACTAGAATCAACTATGAAAGAGACCTCATACTCCTCCCTTCCAGATACAACAAGGGGAGGAGGAGGGACAAAAGTGACAGTATACCTATTACAAATTAGAGGCTTAAGCAAAGATACATGAAATGAATTAGGTATATGTAAGGAGGCAGGAAGAGTGAGAGAGTATGAAACATGATTGATCCTCCGAACAATACGAGAGGGGCCAATAAAACTGGGAGCAAACTTCATGAGTCAGATATTACGTGAGGAGAGGCACCCCGCCGCTTATTGGCATGAAACTCGAAACGAGCAGCCGCATTCTCAAGAGCTGCGTGGACTTTAGTCCAAGTTTCACATACAGAAGAAAGGTGGTCATCCAGAGCAGGGATAGCAGTGTCAGAGAATACAGCAGGGAGAACAGTAGGATGGCGACCGTTTTTGACAAAAAATGGACTATGCCCGGATGAGTCATGGGTAGCATTATTCCTGGCAAATTCGGCCCAAGGTAGCAATTCAGACCAATTCTCCTGTGTGCTATTGATAAAACAGCGTAAATACAGTTCCAATGACTGGTTAGCCCTCTCAGCCGCACCATTAGTTTGAGGATGGTATGAAGAAGAAAAGGATAATTCAATACCTAACTGTTTATTAAATGCTCTCCAAAATCGTGACACAAATTGGGACCCTCTGTCAGACACAATATTTTGCGGAATACCATGTAACCTGACAATCTCACATATAAATATATGAACTAGATCTTGTGAAGAAGGCAATTTTTTGAGTGGAACAAAGTGTGCCAGTTTTGAAATGCGGTCAACCACCATAAGGATGGTGGAATGACCATTAGAACTGAGGAGTTCCCCAATGAAGTCCATAGACAAATGAGACCATGGGACACTGGGTACAGGAAGTGGTTGTAATAACCCACATGGAAGTTTTGGGGGAACCTTGAAAACCGCACAAACTGTACAAGTGTCCACATAGTCTTTGATGTCTTTCCTGAGCGAAGGCCACCAGAACGATCTCGAGACAGCAGATATAGTTTTATTAATACCCGGATGTCCAGCAGTCACATTGTCGTGGAATACCTTTAGCACCTCCTTTCTTTCTAACAAAGGAATAAACAATCTATCTTGAGGTTTATCACAAGGACTGAGCTGCCATGATAGTACAAAGAAGAGGGGATGACAAGGAAAGGACAGTGGATTCAATGATACACTCAGGTGGAACCTAGTCTGTAAGTGATGATAAAGTTAAAGCGTGATAAGAACAAAGACCATCTAGCTTGTCTAGAAGACAGACGTTTAGCATCACCAATATATGCCAAGTTTTTGTGATCAGTAATGATCAAAAGGGGGTTCTTGGAACCCTCCAAAAGATGTCGCCATTCCTTTAGCGCTAGTATAATGGCCAACAATTCTCTGTGACCAATATCATAGTTATGCTGGAGACAACTTTCTAGAGAAGTACCTGCAGGGATGCAAAGGGGTTTCCTGACTTTCCCTTTAAGAAAGAACAGCACCTACCCCTGTTTCAGAGGCATTAACCTCCAGTATGAAGGATTTACTAGTGTCAGGATGTCCCAAGATGTCAGCAGAGGCAAACAATTCCTTAAGAAGCTCAAAAGCCTCCCTAGCTTCTTTAGACCATATAATACATATGGGGCTATCACAGAAGAGAATCCTTTGATGATTCTCCTACAGTAGTTAGCAAAACCAATAAACCTTTGAATGGCTTCTAACCCATTAGATAATGGCCAATGTAGAACAGCTTCTAGTTTACGAGGGTCCATTTGGAAACCAGAGGCTGAAATACTGTATCCCAAAAACTGAACCTCTGTTTGGTCAAATATGCACTTTTCAAGTTTGCAATAAAGTTTATTTTTAACCCCTTAAGGACACATGACATGTGTGACATGTCATGATTCCCTTTTATTCCAGAAGTTTGGTCCTTAAGGGGTTAAATTATATTGGAGCAGCCTGCAGCTTTAAATTGTGAAGAAAACCCCTGTTTTATTCCCCCCTCCTAGAACACCAGATAAACCCTTAATACCTTGTTACATTCAAACTCTGTCTGACCTTTTAACTGTCATATATTGAAACACTGACTGAAGGGGTTAAGCAAAGTTTGCAACACTTGTTTGACATGTTTATGATGAGTCTGGAGGTCAGGGGAATAAATAAGAATATCATCCAAATACACTAATACAAAGGTATATATGTAGTCTCATTGAAATACAGCCGGGCATTGCATAAGCCGAAGGGCATGACAAGGTACTCATAGTGACCACTTCTCGTGTTAAGTGCAGTTTTCCATTCATGACCCTCCTTAATCCTTACCAAATTGTAAGCACTCCAAAGGTCGAGTTTGGTAAACACCTTAGCGCCTTGGAGTCTGTCAAACAATTTAGAGATGAGGGTAATGGGATAGGCATTTTTTATGGTGATCTTGTTCAAGGCCCTATAATCAGTGCATGGGCATAATGCTCCATCTTTCTTGGATACAAAAAAGAACCCCGCACCAGCAGACGAAGAAGACTTACGTATGTGGTCTTTAAGTAAAGAACCTTTAATATATTCCTCCATGATCCTACTCTCCTGTGGGGATAGGGCATATACTACCCCCCCAGGGGCGGACTGAGAGCCTTTGGGGCCCCCGGGCAAAATTAGATCCCAGGCCCTTTGAAGGCCAAATATATGTGCATTAAATAAATGTTAAATATAATTCATAATACGGCATTCCTTTGGATGTGTGTATTGTGAAGACCTGTGTATCAATGCATGTTTGTATTTGAGTCTGTGTGAATGCACTTGTGCATGTCTGGATGACTACATGTGCTTTTTTGTATATAGTGTCTGTGTGAATGCATATGTGACAGGTGACAGAGTGTGTGAGGGAGAAGGTGACAGGTGGAAGAGTGTGGGAGGTTGTGACAGGTGGCAGAGTGAGGGGGTACCTGGTGGCAAAGTGAGGGAGGGAGGGGTTGAGTGGTGGCAGAGTGAGGGGGAGACACAGTGAGTGGGGGTGACTGGTGACAGGGTGAGGGAGTGGGTGACTAGTGACAGAGGGAGGGAGAGGGGGTGTAGTCAGAGTGACAGAGTGAGGGAATGGGTGACTAGTGGCAGAGTGAGGGAGGGAAGAGATGACTAGTGGCAAAGTGAGGGAGGGAAGGGGTGACTAGTGACAGAATGAGGGGATGACTGGTGACAGAGTGAGGGGGGGGTGAATGTCACTAGTCACCCCATCCCTCTCTCTGTCACTAGTCACTCCCTCCCTAACTCTGTCACTGTGTCACCCGCTCCCTCACTCTGTCACTAGTCACCCCCTTACTCTGTCACTGTGTCACCCCCTCCCTCTCTCTGTCACTAGTCACCCCATCCCTCTCTCTGTCACTAGTCACTCCCTCCCTAACTCTGTCACTGTGAAGGAAGGAAGGGGTGACTGGTGACAGAGTGAGGGAAGGGATGACTAGTGGCAGAGTGAGGGAAGGAAGGGATGACTGGTGACAGAGTGAGAGAGGGGGTGACTAATGATAGAGTGAGAGAGGGGGTGACTAGTGACAGAGTGGGTGACTAGTGACAGAGTGAGTGAATGGGTGACTAGTGGCAGAGTGAGGGAGGGAAGAGATGACTAGTGTCAAAGTGAGGGAGGGAAGGGGTGACTAGTGACAGAGTGAGGGGATGACTGGTGACAGAGTGAGGGGGGGTGAATGTCACTAGTCACCCCATCCCTCTCTTTGTCACTAGTCACTCCCTCCCTAACTCTGTCACTGTGTCACCCGCTCCCTCACTCTGTCACTAGTCACCCCCTTACTCTGTCACTGTGTCACCCCCCCCCCTCACTCTGTCACTAGTCACCCCATCCCTCTCTCTGTCACTAGTCACCCCATCCCTCTCTCTGTAACTAGTCACTCCCTCCCTAACTCTGTCACTGTGAAGGAAGGAAGGGGTGATTGGTGACAGAGTGAGGGAAGGGATGACTAGTGGCAGAGTGAGGGAAGGAAGGGATGACTGGTGACAGAGTGAGAGAGGGGGTGACTAATGACAGAGTGAGAGAGGGGGTGACTAGTGACAGAGTAAGAGAGGGGGTGACTGTCACTAGTCACCCCATCCCTCTCTCTGTCACTAGTCACTCCCTCCCTCCCTAACTCTGTCACCCGCTTCCTCACTCTGTCACTAGTCACCCCCTCTCTCACTCTGTCACTAAGGACAGAGGGGGTGATTAGTGACAGAGTGAGGGAGGGGGTGACTAGTGACAGAGTGAGGGAGCAGGTGACACAGTGACAGAGTTAGGAGGGAGTGACTAGTGACAGAGAGAGGGATGGGGTGACTAGTGACAGTCACCCCCTCCCTCACTTTGTCACTAGTCATCCCCTCTCTCACTCTGTCACTAGTCACCTCCTTCCCTCTCTCTGTCACTCCCTCACTCTGTCACTAGAATGAGGGGGTGACTAGTGACAGAGTGAGGGAAGGGGTGACTAGTGGCAGAGTGAGGGAAGGAAGGGGTGACTAGTGACAGAGTGAGGGAGGTGGTGACTGTCACTAGTCACCACCTCCCTCACTCTGTCACTAGTCACCACCTCCCTCTGTCACTACTCTCTCCCTCCTTCTGTCACTAGTCACGCCCTCCCTCACTCTGTCACATGTCATCCCCTCCCTCACTCTGTCACCAGTCATCCCCTTCCCTCACTCTGTCACCCCCTCACTCTGTCACTAGTCACCCCCTCACTCTAGTGACAGAGTGAGGGAGGGGGTGACTAGTGACAGAGTGAGAGAGAGGGTGACTAGTGACAGAGTGAGAGAGAGGGTGACTAGTGACAGAGTGAGGAAGGGGGTGACACAGTGACAGAGTGAGGGAGGGGGTGACTAGTGACAGAGTGAAGGAGGTGGTGACTGTCACTAGTCACCCCCTCCCTCTCTCTGTCACTAGTGACACCCTCCCTCTCTCTGTCACTAGTGACACCCTCCCTCTCTCTGTCACTAGTCACCCCCTCCCTCACTCTTTCACTAGAGTGAGGGGGGTGACTAGTGACAGAGTGAGGGGGTGACAGAGTGAGGGGGTGACAGAGTGAGGGGGTGACAGGTGACAGAGTGAGGGAAGGGGTGACTAGTGACAGAGGGAAGGAAGGGGTGACTGGTGACAGAGTGAGGGAGGGAGTGGGTGACCAGTGACAGAGGGAGGGGCTGACACAGTGAGGGAGGTGGTGACTAGTGACAGAGTGAGGGAGGTGGTGACTGTCACTAGTCACCACCTCCCTCACTCTGTCCCTAGTCACCCCTCCCTCAGTCACTAGTCACCCCTTCCTCACTTTGTCACTAGTCACCCCTTCCCTCCCTAACTCTGTCACTAGTCACCACTTCCCTCCCTCACTCTGTCACTAGTCAACCCCTCCCTCATTGTCACTAGAGTGAGGGGGTGATTAGTGACAGAGTGAGGGAAGGGGTGACCACCTCCCTCACTCTGTCACTAGTCACCACCTCCCTCTGTCACTACTCAATCCATCCTTCTGTCACTAGTCACCCCCTTTGTCCCTTACTCTGTCACTAGTCACCCCCTAACTCACTCTGTCACTAGTCACCCCCTCACTCTGTCACTAGTCATCCCCCTCTCTCACTCTGTCACCAGTCATCTGCTCACTCTGTCATCAGTCACCCCTTCCTTCCCTCACTCTGCCACTAGTCACCCCTTCCCTCACTCTGTCACTAGTCATCCCCTCACTCTAGTGACAGAGTGAGGGAGGGTGTGAGTAGTGACAGAGTGAGGGAGAGGGTGACTAGTGACAGAGTGAGGGGATGATTAGTGACAGAGTGAGGGAGGGAATGGGTGACCAGTGACAGAGTGAGGGGGTGGGGGGATGACTAGTGAGGGAGGGGGTGACTAGTGACAGAGGGAGGGAGATGGTGACTAGTGACAGAGGGAGGGAGATGGTGACTGTCACTAGTCACGCCATCCCTCCCTCTGTCACTAGTTACTCCCTCCCTCACTCTGTCACCAGTCACCCCCTCCCTCTGTCACTGTGTCACCCCATCCCTCCCTCTGTCACTAGTCACTCCCTCCCTCACTCTGTCACTAGTCCCCCTCTCCCTCTGTCACTAGTCACCCTCTCCCTCACTCTGTCACTAGAGTGAGTGGGTGACTAGTGACAGAGTGAGGGAGGGGATGACCAGTGACAGAGGGAGGGGGTGACTAGTGACAGAGTGAGGGAGGGGGTGACTAGTGACAAAGTGAGGGAGGGAAGGGGTGACTAGCAACAAAGTGAGGGAGGGAAGGGGTGACAGAGTGAGTGAGGGAAGGGGTGAAAGTGAGTGAGGTAAGGGGTGACTAGTGACACAGTGGGGGGGCTGACTAGTGACAGTGAGGGGGGGTGACTAGTGACAGTGAGGGGGGTGACTAGTGACACAGTGAGGAGGAGGTGACTGGTGACAGTGAGGGGGGTGACTAGTGACAGTGAGGGGGGATGACTAGTGACAGTGGGGGGGTGACTAGTGACAGTGAGGGGGTGACAGAGTGGGGGGGTGACTAGTGACAGTGGGGGGTGACTAGTGACAGTGGGGGGGTGACTGGTGACAGTGAGGGGGGTGACTGGTGATAGTGAGGGGGGGGGAAGGGGGTGGTTGGTGCCTACCTGCATCTCTGCTCCCTCTTCTCTCCCCGCCTGCTGCTCCTTCAGCATGCTGGGCTCTGTGTGAGAGGAGTAAACAGGAAGTGATGTCACTTCCTGGCCCCGCCTCTCCCATCACACAGAGCCGCATGGGAGAGGAAGCAGGAGACCTGGCAGGGAGGAGGTGAAGCTGCCAGGTCTCATGGGGGGGGGGGTGACTTGAAGAGCGGTAGGTTGTGGGGGCCCCGCGCTGCATCAGGGGCCCCACAACCTATCAATTAAAAAGTTTTATTTTATTATTTTTCCGTTCCAGCTGGAGAGATCTCTGATCTCTGATCTCTCCAGCTGGAACATGGCTGTGCTGCCGGGCCCCTGACTGCCTCGGGCCCTCGGTCCATGACCGAAGTGCCCGAGTGGTCAGTCCGCCCCTGTCTGACAATACTGCACTATTATCCTGTTATTTTGTATTGTTACAGACTTGCATTGAACTTCAACCCAATAGCACCACCTTATGTATGTATATTAAAGAAAACAATTGTCTGCAAAACGTTTGGAATGTTGCTACACTTACAGTGCTATATAAATTTATTATAATAAAATCATTACATTTATCCAGTGTAACTACACATTTACAAATATATACACAAATATAAAATGATCAGTGCAAGAAAGAACACCACTTAAAGTCATGCTGAGAGCCAGGAGAACTGGAGCAGAAAATTATTACAAAATGATCTGAGAAATGCTTTCTGTATGAGAATAGGCCGCTTCTGCATTGTGACCTCGTGGCATTTGTAATAAATAAATGCACAAGCAATTCAAAGATTATGTTTCTTCATAATTAATATTGATCAAACATTTGTACACATGCAGACATATATAGAAACAGAACTAACCACAAATGACTTCTCTAAATTTGGGTGTAATAACTCAATGTTGCTTGTTCACTAATGGTTGACCTGTTGCAAAATAACATCTACAATTGACACACTGTCCAGTAGGTATCAGTGAAAATATGACTTGGATAAAACATAGAAAACTAAAACATGTCACTTCTTTAAAGGGACACTCCAGAAGCACAAAACACTTTAACTAGCTTTTTTACTTTGTTTGTGAAGTGTGACCTCTTTTTCATTTTAGAAAAAGTACAGATTTCAATAGAAATTTACACTTTTATAAATTATCATGGTTACACCCACCTGCTATCAAGCAGACAACAGGGTATGTTACTTCCTGGTTTGGTTAGCTCAGTGGAGCTAAACTCAATATGGAATATAGGAATTGTCCACAGCACCTGGCATACACCGAAAGTCTGTCTGGGAAGGTCTGCAAAGGCTGCAAAAAGCAGGTCTACTGCTTTTGCAAGCAATTTTGTAATATTCCCCAAAAGAAAACATGCAGAAAAAAAAATACATGCATGTTATTTGGGGGTACACCTACTAAATTGTTAAAATATGTATCAAACACAATTTTCAATGGAGTATTCTTTTAATGACTGTGAAGCAACACAAAGACAGACTGCTCTTTTGCCCCCATTAAATGGGCTGAAGGGACACCCATCAATAATGACTTATACAAGTAGGACACCATAAATTATACACACTTGATGTTGGTGTGCTATATACTAGCCAGTGTAACGGATACCCTATACTCCGACTGAGTAGTGATTAGAGCTCTCCAATCCCCAAAACATGAGCCTAGACTTCATGAAGGGGTAAAACAAATGTGTTTAATCCAGGCTGAATGGCCTGCTTTTATACAATACAGGGACACAGTAAACACAACCCTGACACGCCCAAACAAACAGGATAATCCCTCTTCTGAACCTGAGAGGGGACTAGTTACAAGATACAAACTCCACCTCTGTGCTTGAGAGATAATTGAGTCAGGAACTGAACTAACTCAATTATTTCCAGGCATAGAAAAAACATACAATATTACAAAACCTCAAAAATACCTATAAAATACATAAAAACCCCACAAAGGTTACATCCCCCTGATAACCCTGATCTGGGTGACCAACATATCAAAAATTCACCCAGATTGGTTCAGGGGTTTGATATTTTCCTGGAAGTCATAATTTGACCGACTGCACACATGGTCCAATGCCCAAAACAATTCCAGGGGGAAAGTGGTAGCGGTCGGTCAAGTTCAATAGTTTTAAAAGAGAACAAACTACTGAACAGAATCCATTGCCATACTGTGGATCTTGTTCCCTTCATCCAGACGAACGATCCCACCGAACAGTGTTCTCCTAAGTTATATAAAACCGAACACAGGCGATCATGGAAGCGGTGTTCGGGAGTTTCAGTGTCCGAAAATAGTTCCATGAACTCGACGACCAAACACCGCTGCCTGTGTTCATGCGAACAAGATGGCCACCACCTCGTGGTTGTTCATACGAATTGCTGCCACCCAGACGAACGATTAGAACACTGTGGTTAGGATCGTTACAGTGTATCCTTTAGGCTTAACAAGCTCTCGGGTGGTCCATAGTTCATGCGGAAGTTCGGTCCCCGAACAGCATAGGGGATTCACACGAACCAAGCCAGTTAAATAGTCTTTTACAGGTTTCCCTGCAGGGCCCATAGTCTGTGGGCAGGAGGCTGGCAAGCAGGCTCCTCCAGGAGCTCGTGGCAAACTCACGTAGGAAGGGGAGTTTGTCACAGTCAAGACTGACATAAGAAATCTCAGGGCCCCTTAAAAAAAATGTCCAGGCTCCCTCAACTAGATATACACTCCTTGCCACACATGAACTGTAATACACACACTCTTCCAGAATGCAAACTTACACATTGCCAAACACTATCATGCACGCACAAACACAAACAATTACAGAATGTTGGACACACACTCTGTTAGGTATACATATGCAGATTAACAGAACATATGCCACACACAGCATGAGGCACACATTTGGACATGTACACACAAACACTCATACACAGTAAGATACACATACACTATCAGACACACACAGACTCATACATGGTCAGACACTGATACACGGTCAGACACACACACAGACTCATACACACAATGTCAACCACACAACCAGACACACACACAAAGATACACACACACTGTCAAACTGACATATAGCCAGAGATACAGACACAGTCAATTACTTATAAACACCCAGGGGCATACCTAGAGCATTTGCCCCCCCCCCCTTTTTTTTTAAATGTAAAAAAAAAACACCCACACATTCTTAAAAATGTTTTCAGGTTTATTGCACAAATTTGTAAACAATTTAGCAACTTGAAAAAACTTGAACTATTAAAGATAAATTTTGCACTCCCTTTACATAAAAACCCTGCATTCCCCCTTAACATAAAGTTCATACACCCCCTTCACATAAATATCCTGTACCGCTTGCATTCTTTACTCACAATTAAGGATGACTCTTATTATAGAGAAGCTGTGCTCCGGCTTCAGGCTCACAATGCTACTGCTGCCTCAGTGCCACCCTCACATCAGATCGGAGATCCTGGAGATCCATGAAGGCGAACAGAAGGCGCACGTCAGCATGACGCTTTGCGCCTTACCACTCTTCCCCTGTCTCCTCCATATTACTGTGGGCCACTAATGGATGGAGGGTGACTAATGACACTAGCAGTAATGGCACCCCCCTGGTGAGTGGCACCCGGGACGAACTGCCCCCACATTAGTATGCCACTGCAAACCCCTAGCCCCAAGCTCTTCCTTTAATAGTAACAGCCATATAAATTACTGTGCCTAACCATTACTCTCCCCAGGCATTTTGACCTTGCATGCCATGTGTTCCAGCTAGTGCATGGCAGTGCAGTGTGAGAGATGGAGAGTGGCAATATTACATGCCATATCGCAGAACCAATACCCACTTAAGGGCCCCATGCAGGCCCCTGAGCTTTTCCAGTTAGGCCAGGCTCTTTGCTTGTATGCTCTGATAGCGTCACTTGTAATAGTAGTTGGCAGTAATCAGTAGCCCCAATCATCTCCTGGTATGCATTAGTGTGGGCCAGCACCCTCAAGGGTAGCAGTTTCTAGTATTGTTATATTTCACACAAAAGATTATTAAATAAAATTACTAGAGCCACATCTGACAACTTTGCCAAACTGATTTCTGGAGAGGGAGGGGTGGGAGGAGCCAGTGGGTGGGTCAAATACACAACTGGCTTCACTAACAATGTACATTTAGGCACGGATAGCTGCCCATACATGGAATGCTGCTGAGGTGCATATGGCCTTAAATGATCATTATAAGCACCAAAATCTTCAGTTTGGTAAAGTGGTTTTGGTGTATAGGCCATGCCACTACAGGCTCACTGCTTAATTTGTCTCCTCCCCTGACTGTCACTCACACAGCCTACTGGGGGGGGAAGGTTAATTTTTACAGCGTAGTGTGTTTACTTTAGAAGGTCTCCTCCTTTGTTAATTTAATTATTAAACTTTATAGGGTCAGAAACACAAACATGTATTCCTGACCCTATAGTGTTAAAACCA